ATATTGCCCATTTCCAGCTCTGTTTTTCTATTCTTGGACTCTACTAGAGTAGTTTTGTATGCCTTTTTTTCTTATACTGTACCTCAGTGCAACCCCTCAGTTCATCATCTGTCTGAAACAAGCTTAAAGTCTGAGCTTTTGCCTCACAAATATTAATTGTACAATCATCACACCACGTACCATTTCAGAAATGATATTGGAGGCATAATATTTGCCTGAGTCTCCAGACTCTTTCATGCTGACACATGTGCTCAATTTGAATGTGCTCTTATCTGCGAAGACAACAAGTACTGGTGGTGGACCTGCGAGTTCTGGAGTTCTCTGGTTAATGCCAATTGACCTGCACTGTGCTGGTCTGTGAGCACATGTCCCACTAAAGAACTCTGGGGTCTCATGCCACCCTCACGGAGTCTGCTTCTGATAGTTTGGTAGGAAAGATGCACATGAGTAGCCGGCTGGAGGTCATTCTGAAGTGATCTCTTGTTCCTCTCATAAAGAAGCAGATACTGGGCCTGCTGCTGGGTTGATGCCCTTCTACGACCTGTTTAGCTTTCCTTATATTTCTCCTGGTATCTCCTTCATACTCTTTAGAATGCTGGGAGACACAGCAAACCTTCTTGTGTTGGCACATATGGATGCCCTCCTGAAAAAGCTGGGAAACTTATGCAACTTGAATAGGGTCCAGGTACCATTTCATCATATTAGCAAAGAACAATAACCAAAAAGATAAACAAGAGAAAATCAGTCAGTAAAGATAAGCAGAGAGGGTTTTGTTTTTCGAGTGGGGTGGCCTTGTTGTCACTTCTCCAGTACACCTATTGTCACTATGGTTTGGACCAAAACAGATTAAATGGACTCACAAAACGTTTTCTAACTGGACAGATTCATATCCCTGAACTTTCATGGACTTTGTGTTATGCTGCAATGAGTGTTCCCTAAATTTTTTCAGCAGTATTGTTTCTAATGCTTAGACGGATGACATGAGCGATCACCAAAAGCAATCACCTGTTCCTTGATCATTTTCTTTCCAAAACGGCAGCAATCCAACTGTGCTGGCTTTGCCCAAAAGGCATTGATCTGTTGATTATCACAGCAGGGTGCGATAGGTGCTACTAGACTGCGGATAATTCACAGAGACACGAGTTTCCGGTTTCTCGGTACAATTTATAGGGAAAGAGAGCCCTGCCATTAACAGCACCTTGGTGAAACACATGAAGACAGACGTGCACTGCATTGCAGGTTTAATCTCTCGGTTTTCACACTCTTCTTCTCTTAGAGTACGATTCTAAGCGCAGCACTGCCGAGGGTCTCTGATTTACTAAATGCAGTCTCTGATCCTGTAAGCAGATTAAGAGCTGCTCCAAATAACACAGCAAACACACCTTTAAAGTAACCAATTAGCAACACTGGCAGTCACATAAATAGCCTAAAGTAAAAGCTTCTTTCATTGTGGTTTGGTAATGCTCAGTAGGGATTCACACAGGGTGTTCCTTCAGCAAAGCGGTATAATAGATGACTGACAGTTTTCCTCTTCACTCAGAAAAAAATAGAAGCCCTTCATGATCTGAGCAGGCTCTGGACACGCCACTCTCCGGGCTGCCATTAGTGTTTGCTTCATGTTTCAAGCTGGAGTGACACGGTAGCTGTTATGGAAATGTCAAATTTCCATCACCAACCACTCATGATAATAATGCATTTCAGGCAGTGAGGCATTTAGCTGAAGCATTAGTTGACAAGCTTCAAGGATTTTGAATGCTTTTGAGTCACTTCATCATCTTAACAGGTTCCCCTATATTACTGATTGGTCGGAAATGCATTGTTTGGGCTCAGCTGACACTAAGAAGATATTTTTCAGCCTTGTATCACTTGTAAAATATAGCATGGGCTTTGTGTGGCTATATTTAACACCTAAGTTTATTAAATTGCTCAGAGAACATCTCAAAAGGCTTTAGAAATGAGGTTAGAGCTGTTTAGAGGCTGACAGAGACGCAAAAGAGGCAACAGAAGACAAGAAGCGAGTAAAACTAAAGCTGCTACAGGTGCAGGAAAACAGTGGAAATCAGGCTGTACGTTTGAACATGATGTCCTGCTCATCAATTTATAAGATAATGATTCCAAAAGTTTGTTATACTTTAAATTTACCCTGTAATAACTGACTGATATTGAGCACTGCAAGCCCCCATCCCAAAAATTCCTTAACCTTTAGAAAGTGCTGCCGTGATTCCTTTTTAAAAGGAGCTTTGTGGTCTTTTTACGTTTTTTTTTTATTTTCTGGGCATTTTGTGTCTCTTTGCAATTGTTTGATATTACTTTAATCCCTTTGCAATCTTTTAGGCAGGTTCTCTGACCCATTGGGCTGCTGGTCCATCCATCCATCCATCTTCCTAACAAGTTATCAGGTGGTGGAACCAGAGCCTATCTCAGCTTACATTGGGTGAGAAGCTGGATATACTCTGGACATTGTGTCAGTCGATCACAGGGCTAACGCAGACACAACGATGATCATTTACACTCACATCCATATTTTTGGCCATATAAACTCTACCAAAAAAGGTCCCAACTGATGATCAGGTTCAAACTTAACCTTCTCGCTGTTAGGCGACATGGCTGCTTCTTCAGCAATCCATTCTTTGCTATTAAACATAATGACTGGCAGCAAATAAGACCAATCAAATTGTGTCAAAAAACATAGCATTAAAGAAGAGCTTCAGTTCACGTCTAGATTTCCAAATTTCCAGCAACTAACATGCTGTATATTTGAATCCAGCAGTGTGATGAACTGCAATGCTGTGTCTATATTTCAAGGGCATCAGTGATTCACTCTATCAATCACAAGAGTCAAGAAGTGAAGTGTGAACCCTGTACAAGTCTCACCCTTAATGGCTGCCATCTAGCAATGTAGCATAAAACGAGGGAGCGACAAAAAGCAGGAGAAGAATGCATCTTCGGTAACCAGAATTATGCCAGTGCTAACTAGGTAGACAGCCAGTAGTGGCACATAACTTGTGTCATAGTGTTGATTAGTGTTTTTGCATGCATGGTGAGAGCTACGGCATGTTGCAAACAGTCACACAATGCAGATGATAGCACAACAGCTGCAGTCAAATGTTTCAAATGTCATTGAATGAATGACATGTGCTTGATTTAGGACTGTGTTCCTGTGGGTTCAATGATGCACGTTCCTTTGAGAATTTGCAGATATTTTTGTCTGTCTCACAACTCAAAGAAGTGAGTGTTTCTTTAATGCCTCGTGGAGACAGTGTCCCATCATTTTTTATCACAAGCAGAACATTTTTATCACGAGTGCCACTGGGACTGTTTCTTTTCTAGAGGTTTCCAGTTCCTCCAGCCTGAGGAGGAGATAACTCTGAACCCATCTGCATGCCTACAGCTACTAACACAGACAGTCTGATATGAAGAAGCTAAATGCTTTCATGCAGGATGGTCCGGGCAGACATAAACTCTCAAGTTAAAAGCAGGCGTGGTCTCTAATGCGGATATTATGTTTGGCCCATTAAGTGCTAAAATTCAGTTAACAGATCATAGATTTTCAGAGCTAATGACACTGAAAAATGATGTGTTTGTCTCTTTTTCTGTGCAACCAAAGGCTTACATCTAAGCAGCCAAACGCTGTGCTTATGTCCACAATAACTGGTGCATACATTATTAGGCTGGTGTATTATTCATCTGCAGTATAGAACACTGACACTGCTTAACAATTGCAGTATTTCTCCTGTGTATAAAACTGATTATTATATTTGAGGAGTTTTCAAAACAGATAAATTTAAGCTAACTACTAGTACACCATTAAAAATATGTTGCAGGAGCCATTAGCAGTTCCTGCTTGCAGTTTTTTCCCGCTGGTATACAGGCAGCCATGACTGGATTATAATGGAGTCTGAGAAACAGGATGATTCTCAGGCAAGTTGCAGCTTCGTGGACATTTATTTAAAGTGAACAATGATGATAGGGATTTAGAGATTGCATTGCATAAGAAGTGTCTGCACTGTGTCTGTCTTCGCCACTCTTGATTTTCAATGAAAATCCAAATCCAACACTAAGAAAGTCCAAGTTTTATCCCTGGTAAAAATCTAACAATGCACTGTGTGTGAGTGTAAAACAGCCTCGCTCTGCATTTTCTTGATGAAACCACTCTATTTAACGCAACAAACTGAAACTAACTCACTTCCACAATAAAAATGTCTCAGCGAGCCACACTCTGCTGCTGTGTGGAGATGCATTAAAATGCACCACGGATACATTTCATCACACAGACTTGTCAGGACAGCATGTCAGGGGCTTTTTCCTCTCTGTAGCATGTGATCAGACATCGAGCCCTGTCAGCAGTTTAGAGCCCTGATAGATGGCGTAAAGGTGATAAACTGTACTCAACACATGCGCACACTTGCAACAAAGTAGCTTCACTATATTTGCATCATTGTTTAAAAGGAGAAGACACAGTAACAGAACTTACTGACCTTACTCTAACAGGACCACTAAGGCATCACTGCTACACGCACACAGCCAGTGACCCAGGATGTGCAACCACACAGCACAACTAGCTATAATCTAATTCAGCAGATGAACTGCACATTCTATGCAATACAGTTGCAACAACAGGCAACACGTTTTTGCTTTATAAAGGGCTGGTAATTAGCTGCTTTGATAATGCAATGCTGGAGAGAGACGTCTAGCATGGTGGGGATGGTGGAGAGAAAGAAATTCATATTAACAGGAAGGCAACCATATATACAAGCAGAGAAGGACATTTTTATGGGACAAATTAAACCACCTTCACATAAACTTATATGTGATCTATATTTGTAAACCTATATGCAATAAAAAGCAAAAACAAACAAACAAAACAAATTTCTCCCCCACGGTTAAAACTTTAAACCTTCAGAATGAGACATGAGCTACTTTTCATTGGTTAAGAAAAGGAAGTCAAACACAGCCACAAATGGCTCAGATCTGAAGGAGGATTTGTGTGCTATACTTACCATGTTGACTTCTGACACCATGTCTATACTTGCCACGTCTATACTCATGCCAACAGCAACCGGTGGACCTTAAAATAGAGCAAAATAAAGTTAACTACGGATGAGCAATTCAGTCACATAAAACAGCAAAGAAACAGTGATAGTTATACCTCCAAAGTCTGGCCGAAGACGGATATCATATCCTTTGAGCAGTTTATCCACTGTCTCTTTGACGAAAGACATGTTCCCCGGTTCGTTGACGCTGAAAAAAGAGAATAACCCCCCCGGTGAGTCTTCCTGAAAGCGGACGCCAGGACTTTTAACCCCGCAGACACACTCACCTCTGGGCGCAGCACATCACGGCCACGACCAGCGGCACAGAGAGGGCGTCCAACAGACCTGTTCCCTGGCTGCCCCACATCCCTCGGGTGCTGTCTGGGTGCACAGCTGCAGTCAAGCGACCGACAAATGACTAAATGAAGAGTGAGCCGCGGTGCTCACACACACCCCCTAAACCAGGTGAGACGCCCTCCACATTGTCAGCCTGTGCGGCTTCAGGAGGCGCAGACTTCACTGCCAGATGTGCTGCTCGCTGGCTGTGACACAGCAGCGGAGCCGGAAAGCCTCGCACAGCTTGCTGCTGCTGCCCAGCATCCCCATCCTCTAGCCTTTCACCAGTTAGCACAAACTACAAAGTGTCCAATACTATAGAAATGTATAGAAATACCGCAGAAATCCACAGGTCCGCATTGTTAAAGCACACTGCATGCTTCAGCCTGGCAGAGCTGCTTGGAAAATGACTCTTCATGTCAGTACGCGCGAGTGTCATGGGGATGATTTCAGGGCACGTGACTGTCTGTTCTAACAGTAGCAGCTTGTTTGAATGGTTGTATTGACAGAGGAGACTGGGGCGGCCCAGCTGCGCTCAGACGCAGTGGCGTGCTGAAGGGTGTGCTGAGGTCGGGGGACCCCTGCCCATTTCTTTAACTGAATAATCTCACAGTTCCCCCCCCCCCCCCCCTTTGAATGCGGGGTTGTTGGGGGTTTTTTCTCCCTCTTTTTAAGACTAGTCTGTTAGTCAGATTGTTCTCTCCTTTTTAATCAAAGTATTAATGAATGCCAGAAATAACTATGACGCTGCCCTAGTGGAATGCAGTGTCACAGCATGGTGAGACATTCATAACCAGGTAAAAGATAAGCATATGTTTGTTGATGCTAAATGTTACTTATCAACACAGCAGATAGCTACGCATGTTTTATGCTTTTCCTGACACAACCGAAAAGGAGCCTTGAATGTCTGGCTGGACTTGAACTAGAAACCTTTCACTTCTCAAACAAATCCATAAATCACCATACAACAGAGCAACTGCTTGCTAGCACCTTATGTTGATTTATTCTCTCTCAACATGGGTGTTGCTTTCCAAGCTGCTTCCTTTGTCTGGGTAGCAACAGTTCAGTTCAGCACCACAAGTACTTTTCACCCTAACATAGGCTACGTCCACACTAGCCTGGATAGATTTGAAAACGGCGTTTTTGTCTGAAAACGCTCCGCGACCACACTATCATTTTCAGTCGTTTTCACAGAGTTGTGCGTTCACACTGAAAACGCTTATGTTCCAGTGCTGCGCATGCGTGAAACGCAAGACGGTTTGACCTGCCTCATTTCTGTCTGCCATTTGTTTACTGTCCAGCTCTTTGAAACGTTGCAACAAAATGTCGAGGAAAAGCACCGAGTTTTTTAAATGGACTAACGATGAGGTGGAGTTGTTGCTGCGAGTAACACAAAAGTACAAAGTTGCAAAAGCGAGTGAGAATTAAAGAATTTGAAGAAAAGCTATCTGGAGCATGTAGAAACTGATATTAATCTTTAATAGGGCTGTCAAAATTGAGAGCAAACAAAACCACTGCTGTGTACTGCCCTCCGCTATCGTAGTTTAATTGGTTACTTGACTGCATCACATGACTAAAATGTGTCATCATTTTCAAAAAGTCTCAGTTTTTGCTGTCCACACTGCGACGCAAAAGCACCGTTTTCAAATGTATGCGTTTTCAAGAGCGTTTTAAAAATGCGGCATTTTCCTTGAGTGAAAACGCCGTCTCAGTATGGACGGGAGGCTAAAACGGAGAGAAAACAATGCGTTTTCGTTTGAAAACACATTAGTGTGGACGTAGCCATAGGATCCCGTGTCATCTGCTTGCTACTGTTTATGGAGTTTTCTTCACCAAGATCGATGCACATGCTACAGTTTCACTTGCTAACCTGGAAAATTGTAGCTAATAAATATCTGATTAGCAGAAGGTGCATTTCCATTTTTATGCACATTTTTAACAACACAGTTTCATTTTCTTTTTGAATAGAAATGTGAAAAAAATTGGACTTGGTGAAGATTATGAAGGTTTGAAAAGGTTGAAGAGTTTGGATTGAAATAATTCAAGTCATCATTACTGGTGCGGCCTCATCTTCTGCAATGGTTTAAAAGCACCTGAGTGGAGAATGACCACCAGCTGCTTACAACAATAAACTGATAATATTCAGTCCCTCAGTATTTTGTGCTTCACTTGCTTTGATAAGCTTGCTTTTTTTACTGCAGCTACTACATGCTAATGCTAATGCTAATGTTGTACTGTGCATTAGCACTTACTGATACTCCAAAACGACCATTTTTGAACACAGTGCTTGTTGCTAAGATTAAGTAGTGGAGTGTGCAGGTCTAGTTGTCTTAGGTTTTCCAGATTTGGTTACAGGGTAAAAGCAGGTTGGAGATCTAAAAGTTCAATGCTAATTTTAGAAGATCTGACTCAGCCTTACTTGTTAATGAAAACAATGTTCGCACCCCCACGAGTGCCAATCAGTTTAAGTTGTTCTAGCGAAGATTTCATGAAAATGCTCACTGAGCTCTTTTTTTTCTCTCTCTGCTCCAGTGTTTGCCGTAGAGGAAGAAGTTCAATACTGCTGCAGGGAATGAGATTGTGCTTTAGTTGGACGCCTACCAAAAGATTTCTCCTATTTATTCAAGAGAGCCGCTCTGGTTTTCTGCCACTTTTCAGAATGAACACTCTGCAACTTTTTCTAATAAAGTTTCCCTTTTGTTGCAGCCCTCAAGAAAGCAGTGTTTAGGGATTGATTCTTACCTTGTATCATAGATGGCATACAGCTTTTTGTTTCCATCAACAGCATTCCTGCAAACACAGAAAAGAAAAGATTACTTTCCGTGTGAGTACGGTGACTTTTACAGACTCGTTCCATGTCCCTACAGGAGATTTGTTCCCGATCCAGTTTTATTGCACATTGTTAGAAACACGCAAGTACCAGTTGTTGCTGCAGTATCACAAGCCAATCTTTCTACTTGTACTTGTGTTGTGGAATTTAAAATAACCCAGTCATTTGGAAGTGAGTCGACCGTAACCCTTTGAAATAAATGCAGATTCCTGTCGTAGAGGGTTCTCTGTGCCTCCTTGAGAAGCACAGAGTGACATGTTGTCTCTTCAAGTTGTCTGGACCACTAACCACCAAACCGGGACCCAGTTTTTAAAATGTCCCACTTAGGTCAGGACCACAATAATCTCAGAGAAATGGAGAAAGCATCAGTCCAAACTAAATGGCTTATTTTTAACCACTGCCTCTTCCATGTAAGTAAGCACACTGAAAAGCAATAAAGCACATGAATCGAGCAATTAATACAAAACACTAGTGAGAGGCACAACCGACTAAAGCATAAATACACAAAATCCCACATTAAAGAAATGACTTCTGAATCAGTAAGCAGTACCAGAACGTACCATTCAAATGGTTTTCAGTCAGTGTAATGCTTCTGAATCTCATAACAAAAGGCTGAGGCCAACACCATCGTTTTCCAGGTTTCTGCATGATTACTTTGATTTCTCTACACTCAGGGTATCTACAGCTGTTGGAAATTCATGCAAACCATTCTCAAGCAATATTGTTTGACAAGACAAATCAAAAACAATTGTTCAGTTCATAATTCACAGTCCCGTATCATCCCGTATTATCCCGTATTATCCCGTACAGTGATAAACTGTATATAAAAGATGGATGCAGCCCCTGTGACGCCACCCCCTGGTTAGTAAGGTCCTTTTATGAAGCCTTCAGGTGAGCATGTTGACTGTCACCATGATGTGATGACTGTGAAACTGTGCCATACTGCATGGATTTCAATCCATTTGTACTAGTTTTTATATTAGATTGTCTCTACTTTCTGTTTCACTCATTTGCGTCTTTAACTTGTTTCATTTATTTATTTGAATCTAATTTTTAGTATGTGGGGCACAGAAACTGACACTAAATGTATATTTTAGCTTCTGTGCATACAAAATAAACTAGACTTCTTAATGAGGCTATTTAACTGAGTTTTAATTTTTTTAAGTTGACAACTTATCTAAAAGGGTCCTCCCTAAAGGAGAGTTAGCTTGATTGCTCTTTTTCACTCTAACTGGGGCCATAATTTACAAAGTGGAAATCTTATTGTAATTAATAAAATATGGAAATGGTGACTGAGAACATAAACTCATCGGGAAAGTCTTTACTTGGGTCAGATTTTGATAGCAGTAGGCTCTTTTTTCACAAAGACTTCTATAGACGAACCAAAAAGAGTCGCCCTCTGCTGTCCTTTTGAAACATGGGGCTTCAGCTTTACTGTTCAGACTCGGAAAAAAACACACTATAAAAACAGAGAAAAGGTTTATCTTACACTGCGAATTTTTTGATAGTTTTATATTATATTGATGATATATTACGGTTTTATGTAACTAAATGTTGTAACATAGTATAAATGTATTATATATAATAAGGGACAAGGGTTGGAAATGAGCAATAGCTATAAACTGTGATGTGCAGCATTGCAGAGTTTCGTGCTCTATATTGGAACTATGTTGAACTGCATTGTCCCTTTTAAATAAATAAATTGGAAATAGACGCATCCTTCTTTTTACTACAGTCTAGATACAGTGGGTACGGTGGATGTCACTGGATGTTGATAAAATACAAATAATTTGTAGTTTGCAAATACACTAGAGCACTGGAGGGGAGCAGTAGATCAGTGCAGTATACCATGAGTACAGCTGCCTGTTAAAACAATAGAACAGCGTTGAAATGAAAATAAGCCACTTCTGTTTGTGTAGCTTTAACCTCACATTAAATAAGTAAAGCTTTTACGGCTAATATTGCTGATGGCTCTCATGCTGTGGATTATTACTACGGACACTTTGATTTTTGCCTCTTTTTTTTGCCTCCCTCTGCCACCTCCCCCTCCCTCCCCTCTCCGTCTCTCATCCCTCTACAGCATCTCTCCTCCGCTCACTGGCCACACATCCTCCCGCTTCTCTGCACGCTCGCCTGCTCATTTCGCACCAAACTCTACATTTGCACTCAGCTTTTCCTTTGGATACACTATTGGATTTTTTGCTAAGCTGGCTTTGTGCTCGCGGCTCCTCGGAGACCAAACTAAAGGATGGTCAGTCAGCACAAGTGTTGGGAAGCCTTTATTTTTTCGCTGCCAACCTTTTAATCGCTCTGGGGAGAAATAAAGCTCGCTGACAGTGAAGTCAGTCCACATCTTCTTCCTCTCTCTTTCCAACATACAGTTATTGTGCGCGGATGGAGGTGTCGGCCTTAGGAATTGATGCCAAATTGTGAACAGTGCAGTCTGCGTGTGTGTGAGAGACCTGCGGAGAAGTTTGACTGCGCATCGTCTTGTGTGGTAAGCTTTGGTAACTGCGTCTCGGCTCCTGTGCAGCACCGCGTTATTTTAGGCCACTACAGTATGAGATGTAGTAGCACGGATTAGTGAACAGGCTAGAAAAGAAAAGAGTATCCCCGAGGTCTGCTGCTGCTGATGCTGCTGCTGCTGATTACGAAGGACCCGCAGACACCGTCCTCCTCACGGGAGTTTAATCAGCTTGTAGAGATCTGTGTCGGACTTTAGATGATTCAGTGAAGAGTACCTTCAGTCACAGCAACACAGACGCGGGTTAAAAGAGTCCAGCTGTGGTGCAGAAAGGAATCTTGTAGATGCAGCACAGGTGGAGGCATTTCACCTGGATATACACGCAGCAGAGCTCACACAGCGCCAGTCCTTTGAACAGAGGCTTTTGCAGTGAGATGGGTGGGTATAGAGGGGCTCCAACAAAGAAGGAACTCACCGTTTGCATGTCTGAGCCGTGAAAGCTGCACTGTATCTTGGATTTTTATCAGCTTTTCATTTTTTTCTTGTCACACCTCCGCTGAAGGTCTGAACATCTGCATGTCTTACAGATGTTGCCTAGTGTTTAGGAAGGCTGATGGCCACTGCGCTGCGAGATGCTGAATTGATTCTGTCACACATTTCCTGTAGTGGAGCTGTTAAAGATTTATTGAACCCATAGGCTTGGAGTGAGTGCAGAGTTTCTGGGGGACAGTGTGCAGATCATCTAATATTTGACTTAGTTTCCTCTGCCAAAAAAGGCAAGATGATGTGCCAACAAGGTCACATCTCAAAAGCTCTCAAACGGAACTAAGTTCTGATTATTTTGAACTAAGAGTTAGCCCTGGCAGTAATAATAAAAAAGGTATTCAAGTTTTAAACTACTGCGTGTGTGTTTTTTCAGGAATGGGCGATGGAATGTGCTGCAGCTTTGCAATGAGGCGTCTGTGGTTCTGTGTCTTGCTTGCGAGCATCACCTGCCGTCTGAGGTAAGGAACTGACTCTTAATGTTAGCACACTGTAATGGCACATTTTTCACAGCTCATTGCTTAATAAATAGGAATTGATTGTTCAATATTTTTAAATAATTTTACAGAAAGTTAAAGGTGTTTATATGACATCCTTTTTTTTCTAATCCACCCGTGTCCAGGATCAGCTTTCTGTTTCTGTGTTTCCTCCAGCTTCTCCCAGGAGATAACTCCAAAAGAGGCAGAATTAAATGACAATATTACCATCTTCACGCGCATCCTGGACGGACTTCTGGATGGTTACGACAACAGACTCCGGCCCGGATTGGGAGGTAAGCCCAGCGAATGTTTAAACCTCGACACAAATTTTCTCCGCTCAGAGAAAAAATGCTCCGCACAGCAACATCTGCCTTCTGCTCGGCCCAGAAAATTAGTCTGTATTCACGAGACACATGACGAGCTGTTATGACCTCAGCTAAGTATGATTTAATGGCACTGTGAAGTATGCAGCGTGCTACTGTGACCTTGAGAGAACCACTTCATCTCTGGTTGGACGGTGGGTCCTTTGTTCTGCAGCGACTGTAAAGTTAAGTTCCCATAAATTATATTTATCAAACTGAAAAAAAATCTGGTATGATGTGTAAACACATAAACATTAAAATATGGAGAATGCCCACTGGCCCTGCTTCAAAGGTGTCATGCATTAATTACTGAACAATATGCAGGCATAAAAATCTTACCGTGGCTTAAACAGTATTAAATATAGCAGAGATGAAGTGACTTTTCAAAAGATGGACTGCAGTCACCCCATCAAATAATCCACGATATGCCATTTTTAATTTTATTTTTATTTATTTATTTTTTGTGGAAGAACCTAAATTTTACAAACCCAAATGTCACACTGGATTAGTTTTTCAGATAAAATGAAATTAGAGATTTGGCCTGTTAAACTTTAATCTCTGCCCAAAGAAGCAAGAACCTAGTCCCTCATATTTAGACCAGGTGATGTTGTGGATGCTGATGTCTGCTCTGGAGGCTCACTGTGTTCTGTGTTTTCTTACAGAGAAGGTGACGGAGATCAAAACCAACATCTTTGTCACCAGCTTTGGTCCGGTCTCTGACACCGAAATGGTAATAATCACACTGCAAATATACTAAATGCATACATATTTTAAGTTAAAAACCTGGCCTTATCAGAACTTTAATTACAGAAATTACAAGTCTACTTTTTTACCGCCCTGTTCCACTGGTTTGAAGAAAGTGATCCAAATTGTGCCAGAATTGAACAGATTTAAATGTTTCCATTTTTCACCTCTTAACCACGATTCAGGAAATATGGCTTGATTTTTGCATAATGTTGTTGAACACACCAATAAAAGGCAACGATCACACATTCAGCTTGGTGAAGGGATCACACCTGAACCTAAGCTGCATGATGTTAGATTTCGCTAATCACACTGCTGCTCCTTCTTAACCCTCAAATGAGCCCGAGTGCGATCACACGTAACTCTGTTATATTTTACAAAGGATGACTTTTTATTGGCTTTGTTTGTGTTTCTCATGCCAAATACTGTTTCCTTTATCTGAAGCAAATATTCCATAATCTTCTAATCACAGTTTTTAGTCATTTTTATGCAAAAAGGAGTGGAAAAAAAACCTCACAAAATATATGAACAAAATGTACCAATTCCTGTAAGAACTGTGAACTATTGTAGGAGAAACAGACAATTTCATGACTGAGCACTAGTTAATCATCATAAACTTTCTTTATTCCATCAATTTGTTTAGATGCATACGTGACTTCTCTCATATTCATGGGTCTGAGCTGTTTTCCTGCAGGAATACACCATCGACGTATTCTTCCGCCAAAGCTGGAAGGATGAGCGACTTTGCTTCAAAGGCCCGATGGAAATGCTTGCCCTGAATAATCTTCTAGCCAGCAACATCTGGACCCCTGACACCTTCTTCCTCAACGGGAAAAAGTCCATTGCACATAATATGACTACACCTAACAAGCTGCTGCGGCTGAAGGATGATGGGACTCTTCTCTACACCATGAGGTAAGCAAACGTTTTATCCAGCTTGAACTGAAAGCATTTCTTTTCCAGCCAGTCTTACATTACAAACCTTGACTCATAAGAGCTGGCTAGCCATGTTTAAAGATATTGTATAATCCAATTAAACCTGGAGCGATGACTGAAACCTCTATCAGTCTGCGATATTCCTTTGGTAATGGTTTTTAAGACCCCCGCTGCACTAATACGGCCCACACATTTATACTCTGTGTCTCAGTGGTGCATTGATGCGTCATCATGTTGTCCTCACACTGTAAACTGGAGGTCAGGGGAACTGGAAATGTTTGCTTTGACCCAGCGCTCTGTTCTCTCCTCTACTATTAACTAACTCTGTCACCACGTCACAGAAAGCTTTACTTTGAAAACAGCACAAGCTGTTCGCAGCCCAGATTTCACATGCTCTGGCTCTTTCAAAGGATGCATACAGTTCAAGAATGCGTCTTGTTCTCAGTTTGTGCCGCCTTAACAACTGGAAAGAGATTTTTTCCTTGCATAAAGCATACTAATCCACTCATTATTAGTTCAGAGAATGGCTTGTGGATGCATAATACATTAGACTCTGTGCTGTGGAAAGAAATGTATTCTAGATAGAACCATCTCATTTACATCCACTTTCATTTCAGTGCTGCGTCATCATCTTATCAGGTCAATAAATCCTGCAAATCAAATATTAACAAAGGAAGTTTGAGGAAATGGACATGGCTGCGTGTCAAAAATCATTATCGATCCTCTTACTTTGAAATTGCTACAAATCTACAGCACATTTTCCAACGCTACGAGCCATTAGAAACGAGTTCAAGGCGGCCCATTAATGCATTTGTGTTCTGGGAACGAGGTTATTAGCGGAACATTTTAGCCATGTCTTACTCTCCTCTCCTGCGTTCGTCGTTCTGCAGTGTGCAGTGCCCCAGCTGCTGTAGGATGAAAAGATCCCTTAGAGAAACATGAAGGTTCCTTCCAGACAGTGCAATGCCACATTATGCACAATATGGCCCAAAACACGCAATAACTTCCTAATAATCCAATAACATGGACCTCGGTGAAATAGCATAGTGAAAGCATCAGTCATCCTTTTAATCATCTGGTAATTTACCTGCACTCTTTTTATTGGTCAGTATGATTTATTAACATCTGTATGTGTTTGACTAACTAAATGATCTGATGATGTAGAAGTCTCAAAACAAAATGCTGTGTGTCAAACATGATTCACTTAGGAGTAATTAATCTAAAACAGGACAGGATTAGACACCTGCTGTTGTACCGATACTGTAAGTGCTGACATGGCAATCAGCAGAAACAATACCAGGATAATATTAGTGATGCTTTTACCTTTATTTAAACTGTTTTATCAATAATCCTTCTCAAATTTTCTGTCTATTTAATGCCATGAAAAGTGATAGTTAATGCATGTTTTTACTTTTGAAAAGAAGGACAACTATATTTTCCAGCATATGTCGCATGTTTCAATAACAACAAAACCTAAATTCAACTCCTCCAGTCAGATAATTGGCTGTAACAATATAACACAATCACCACTAGGGGGTCCTATTCAGACACAGCGAGCAGTGACAATTTTTTAGAAAGTATATTTTGCTCTGTGATGTATTCAGTGAATCCCAAGCTTATCTGTATTCATCTTTGACTCTCTCTCTCACATCGAGGCTCGTGCTCTGTGCCGTGTGGATTTTATTCACACGAAACAGCCGAGACAGCAGATGTGGTTCAAAATGAAGAAATCCTTCTGCTGTGCAGGATTATGACAGTCAACTAAAACTCAAAACTAACGTTTGCTGCAAAAAAATTGGTGGCAAAACTAAAAACTTTGAGGAAAAAATAAAATGAACTTTAATTTGATATTGTACTGCATATAAAGTAACTGCAGTAACTTCAAAATATTGCAGAAATATCTCCTTTAGTTTTGTCTGCCGTCAGTTTGCTCAGCACAACAAGACCGAGCAGGTGTTGCACATTTGAATCGAGACTTTGCATTGCGTTACAATGTTTAATGCGCAAGTGTCAAAGTATTAAAAGTGAAATAAAAGTAATATTATATAACAATATAAGAATATGTTATTTTAATGTGATTAATAAGCACATGTTTTAAATAATATCAGCACTGTTATAAAAATATATGGACGTCCACATCTGTAGATTTCAGTGTGTTGTTGGAGTCTTGAGTCTTGTGTTTTTTTAGATATATAATTCCTTAGATTTGTGGAGGTTTGACACCTCACAAGATCAACTATGAGCGATAAATTGCACATGTACTCGCAGCAGACTGATCATCTGTTTCATAAAAGAGGGGTTCATTAAATGCGAGTGAACTCACACATTTTTACTCAAGAAAGGGAAAATTAGATATTTGAAATGGTTGCACAGATCAACTGGACTGAATGTGATACATAAGCTTAATGGAGGTTGACGGCCCTGTTTGTGAGGTATTCTTGGTGGAAAACATACTATGATCCATTATTTAAATCAATGTGAGAGTCACAACCACACCTGGAATTGTAATGATCACCAAGTAAGACAAAAATACACCAGAGAGAGCAAATCCAACGTTTGGGTCATACAGATGAAGGCAAGCAGATCAGGAGCAGCGGTGGGGCAAAGTTTAGTAAACTTTCCTAAATGGTCACAACTAGACTACAACCAAGAAACGTCAAACAACGCCCCCAAATACAAAAGTAGAAACAAGGTGAATGTACACAAGAAATCAAGTTAATCAAGTGATCACAGGATTTGTATACTGCAATAGAAAATATGTCATCCCAGTGAAATATAGCACGTCCTGTTACCATGGTGCATTCATTTGAATAGTAGCAGCTCTCATTGTTCTCCATGTGACCAGCAGATGGCAGTGTTATATAAGACCTGGTGGTCCATTGGCTGCCTGTGTGGCTGAGCTGTGTTCACACTTTAGATCCAACATGAGCTCATTTGTTTCCCCGTTTTTATTTCCACTGAAGCTTCATTTGTGCATTGTTGTATTCCCACAGACAGGTGGCATCCTTTCTCCACAGACCAAAGCTCATCACGGGTCCCTCTGCTGGTTCAGATGCTTTTTGCCCTACACTGGGAAAATTGCTTTTCGCTCTACCGTTAATTATTTGAGACACTAATGAAGACAAAGGGAGATTTCTGTTTATAAATGGCTGTTTACAACATTAAACACAATTTATAATAAGGGGTTGTGTTTAACTTTGAACGAGGTGATCATCATAATGATGTAGTCAGTTCATTTTCTGCCTTTTTCTTTCAGGCTTACCATCTCTGCTGAATGTCCCATGCAGCTGGAGGACTTTCCAATGGATGCTCATGCTTGTCCCCTTAAATTTGGAAGCTGTAAGTAAATGCACCTTCAAGCAAATGCCCACTGCACATAATGAGTCTTTAATAATACAGGAAAAGGTGTGATGTAAATGTTTTATGTCAGCATCCGGAACTAGAGTGATGTTAAAATAGTTAGCAAACTTTTCGAAAAAGGGGGTACACCAGAAAGAAAAGCAGCATGTAGTTTTGACATGGCATCGGTTTCAGTGTCTTTCTCCATGCAGAGGGCATAGGGACGGATGAACGTTAGTGCGTTTGACAGGCCGTGTCCCTCAGGTGTAAAGCTATTGTTGCGGCGGTGCAGGAGAGCCATGTAGACACTGACACACTCCTCCTGATGAAGCCATTAATCAACATGTCAGGGCTGCTCCTCTGCACCCTTCACTGGCTCGGCTACATTTAATGGGAAATTTCTGAAACAGCTACCCTACATGCACACACACTGGAAGCATCTAGAGACATAAACACACACACCAAATCTAAATTTACCACCAAGGTAACCTTAGAAATCTGGACGTACTTTTGCACATGAACCGCCAAACCGCCACCTTCCATGTGACTTCTATGTTAGTCAGCTTGTCTCACACGGTCCAAAAATATCTGGGGAGCTCCTGTTCTGTAAGCTTCAGATTAGCATTTGAGGCTTTCCCTGCCACTGACATGACGTAGTGATCGCAGTCCTCATGAGTGCGCTTGCCGCATGCTGACACTTAGCTGCTCCCACAGCTACTTTGGTCACCTTACCGGCAAGTGAAACCAAGTGCAGGGATAATCGCAGCAGCTAATTAAGAGAACAACTGCTGTGATGCTGATGAACTCTACTTGAAGTCCATCAGGGATCCCTGACAATCGAAACCTCCTCACAGAGGAGCTGTTCTTCTCATTTTTAGCTCCATATTTTTAATATTGTATGATTCACAGATCAAGGTTTTCTTCCTCATATCAAGGTGGACCTTAGTGCTACCCCTCCTCTCCATTCTAAGGCAAGCGAGCTTTGCTCTGATTGGCTGTCAGTCATAAACAGATGGTTAAAACAGAAAGTAAGGGGAATGGCCATGTATCTACTCTCACTGACATCACACAGATCCAACAGTATAACACCCGTGATGAAATGAGTGAACTGAGATCAGTCGGCAGGCGGAGCTTTGGGCTCACAGGGGGTTTGTGTGTATATACTGAGCCTTTTTATAATGCCAGTGTCCACTGGAACAGAAGATTTATGACAGGAAATAAGGAAATGCATAAAAGCGCCATTTTAAATTAATTATGTAAGTTTAAATACAGCACTAGTTGCTTGGTTTCTTGCAGATTTAGTGTAACAGACAAAGTCTATTGCATACAGCAGCTCATTGCAAATACACAAAGAAAAAACACTGACAATAAAAGTTGCAACAAAAAAGCAACAGAATCTCTTTAATTTTGTGAAGATTCTTTTAAAATTTGATATCCTTGAATGGAAAAATGTGAAAACCCATCAAAGGCTGAAAGCTATGTTAACCATCAGTATTAACTACAAAAATAAAATAAGTGGAAATCGTTCCAAACTGTCCAAATAACACAAATAATTAAGCTCAACAAAAGCAGTGATGGAAGTGTGGCTGCAGTATGTATTATTGTAGCTTTGCTAAGTTGTGATCTATCGTGATGAAGGTGAAAAAACACAGAGGTTGCCATCCTAAAACTAACTTTTTAAACCGTAACTGGAGAGAAAAAAATCTACGTGAGGCTGTGAGCTGTAAAAGTTACCGTGCGATACATCCTGTTTTCTCCAACTCCATTAACCCAAGCTAATCCTCTGACCTAATGGACAGCACTCACCCGTGAGCTCAAGGCTTTCAAAGCTACAGTAGACCTTTCCTTTGCTGTTGTGTTAATCACCTTTCATGGACTGAACTGTACAACCACCAGTGTCTGTGTGCCTGCTGTCGCTCATCGCTGTGACACAATTTAAAGGAAGTGTGTGATGCACAGAAAGCCTTTACCTGATGTAAATACACCAGAGCAACATGCAGGTCTTGTTTTGTGGTCACACTGGTGGCCACGTGACCATGCGTATATATCTTAATTTGTTTTAGTCACATTACACCTGTAGTCTCTTTGATTCTCTTAGTGTACCTCCTTACATCCGACTTCCAAAATTCCAAACCAACTTTTGAAAAAGAGCCGACAATTCTGGTGAAGTTTTTGTCTACAGCAGTCGATTCACAATCTCAGTGTGTGTGCCAACTGTCGTACAGCCTTAATTACAATTCACTCGCCATAACAGATGGTTTCTTTTTGCCTGAATTTACAAAGATTTATTTGTACCTCAGTAAAAACGCCGTTAAAAAACATCATAATACAAGAAAAAGTCTAACATGGCACGCTAGCGTGCTGGACTCTTGCGACACTATTCTGTCCTCATGTTTGAGTGTTAGCATGGGAAAATGCTAATCTGGAGTCGTGTTCTTGCCGGCGTCTCAATTTTTCACAGCTGAAGTAATTGCTCAGATCATTCATGCACCTGTAAATGAACGGAAATGCAAATACAAAACAAAGTAAGGTGAACGTTCTTACTCAGTCTGAAAGGCTGTTTTTTCTAATTTTAGATTACACTCTGGGTGATAAATAGAAGTGCTCCATGTTCAGATATACGCACACAAACCACATTTATCAGGATGATTTCTTACTTTCATTTGTCTCTTTTTTGCACTTAATGATGGGCAGAAAACACTATCAGGACCGAAACAGGGAACAGAGTCACAGTTAAACTGAAAATATGACAAAAACCTTTGAAAAGGATGTTTTTAATTTGGTTACTAATAAATGTATTTATATGTCCACGTGTTTCTGTATAGGTTTTAGACAGGCCTGATTCTATTACTCTGATATACAGCTTAACACTGCAGTTTATGCAGAAGCGTCTCAATGTTTGGGTCTTTTAATAAAGAAATCTCCTATGCTTAAAATATACTTAAGACATCCGGTTCAGCCTCACACGAGACTAGTGGCCTCGCCACCACCCGTCTGAGTGGTAATGAGTGTTTTCAACCCTTTGGGTCTCTCTGATTTTCTCAGGCATGTCTGAAGTACACTGGCTGCTTTATGGGCCACATGTACAGTGACTTCCTGTATGTAAAGATGTTTTACAGATGAAGTTTCTGAGTGTTTGAGCTTGTTCGCCGACTGTGATGAGCAGTAAGGTTTGTGGTTTTGTTGCAACAGCTGTAATGCAATAACATTTTTTTAAACTTTATAGCTGATATTTGTAATAAATGTTTGAATTTCTCTCATAGTTACCATAAAATAAAAATGTTTTTTACTATGTGGAACGAGCTGGTGAACCAAATCAGGTCCAAATCTTCCTACATATCTGTAAATCAATAACATAAAAACAATATATATTTTTTGCATTATTTTAAGAGAAATGAGTGGCCAAGAAAATTTTCATATTTAACCTTTTTAAAGTACTATTTGCTGTCTTGTGTGTTTGTTGTGTTATGTAGAAGTGGCTACAGAGAATAAAGTGTATTCACTGTGAATACATTGTCATTAAGAACTGTAGTGTATCAGGGTTGACACAACGGAAGTGTTTCACCTGTTTTTAGGTTTGTTCACACTGACCTTTAAGGTACGCTGTTGTAAACAACCAACACCCTCTGGGGCTTAAAAAAAAAAAGAAAGCTAAAATCTGCAGTTCCTTGAACGCCCACTTGAGGCTCCGACAGTGAGTAAGTTCTAGTAAATAGCAGATACAAACAAAGAAACTGGTACTCAATCATAAAGATTTATGGAAAAAGAAAAGGGTGAGTTTTAATTAAGAAAGCCAATATGCAAAAAGTGCTACTTAGAGTTTCCAGACTGCAGTGTAGTTTGATTTGGGGAATTACCATTAGCCTGAAGACTGGAAAGAGTGTAAAAGATGACAGTTTGTGGCTTAACTTTATTTTCAAGAATACTTTTAGTCTAAAGCAGCGACCTCTTTCAGACTCATAACCAGTGTGATCTACGGTATCTTGGGCTTTCTCTCCAGTTTCACGATAACTCTGAGGTCAGTCTTTAGAACGAGGTGACAGTCCTCCAACCTGCAGGATGGAAAACAGCGACGTTGTGGCTGTTGTTTCCAAATCGTTTTTATATTTTAAGAAACTCTCTAAAAAAGCACAGACTCCTTTTCAGCCTGTGCAGAAAGCGGTTTTGAGCAAAGTGCCATATATAACCCTCAGTCTGTGATGACACTGGCTTAAAGTTCATTTTTTCTATTTTAGAGCAATGAATGGCTTAGTCATTATATAAAGGTCTTTTGTCTCCCAACAAGTGTATAAGCCTCGATCTACAGACAAAGCTCTCTGAACTGTTTAAGTGTGGGTGAAGTGTTACAGTAGGTGCAGCGCGTAATGTATTCTGTGACTCGGATGTACAAAGATTCGTTCGAGGCAACGCGGAGCCTCTTTAAGACGATAATCCACAGCCTGGTTGACTGGGGTCAATCTAAATTGCAGTGAAGTCTTCTAACACCACAGTTGCTGGATTAGTGCAACACTGTTAGATTGGATTCTGCACTGCAGTACAACTGAGAGAGAAAGACACACAGATGCATCTACTGTACAGTACGTGTGGAGTTTGTACTTCAGCACAAGTTTGCAGAGTTCACTTGTTTCTAAAACGAAGCTATGAATGAAAGATTGAGCTTGAAATGCACGAGGATGAAGAGGTAGTGGCAGCAAAAGGAAGAGTCTGACGTGTCACAGCAATCCCCCTCACTGTGCCACATATAACATCAGGGCGATTATGTTAGAGCCACACACGAGCTCTTGACAGCGACTTCAACTTAATCTCTGTGTAATGAAGTCACACTGGTGACTTTTCTTTCAAAGAGCTCTGGTATTATCACTATTTTAGCTAAGTAACTGACTTTCATCATGAGGACACTTTCGTGATAAATTAAGAAAAATGTTTTGCAAGTGTAGCTTTTGACACAATGAATAGAAAACAAAAATGAAGGATTTTCAGACAGAAGCTAAACAAATGGAGGTGCAACTATAAGGAAGACAAACAGACACTCTGACTCAGACTGAAGCTGTACATACAAAAGAGGTAAAAAAAAAAAAAGACGCAGCTGAAACTAGTTAAGAAAATAAAAACGAAGCAAATTTGGACATAAGATACAAAAGAGCGAGGAGAAAGAGAGAGGAAGCTAACTAAAAACAAACTCCACAAAATCATCGGTAGATAAACCTGACAAGGAGTAAAGTAAACATATAAAAACACAAAGAGATCAACTTAAAGCAAAGAAGAATGAAGAATTCACAAAGAGTCCATAAATCACATAAGTCATTCTCGAGAAGAAAGAAACTATGAACTCAAAATCCAGGGACTGGGGCCCTTTTAGTGCATCTGCATGAACACTGCTGGATATTTGCGGCACATTTTGGATTTCTGGATCATACTCAGTAAGTTAGCATTTGTCAGTCATTTGGAACTTTTTTTTGCTTTTCCTGTTAAACAGCACCTGTATCTGAACATTGACGTGACTAAAAATGCAGCTCTTACATAATTTCATTCACGTAACATGTCATTTATCAAACTCATCTTCGCTTGACAGGAAGTAAAAGCTCACAGGGGACACAAAATAATATTGTGAACATGCACCGTGGGTGGACGGCTCGTGTGGCATTAGGACTTTTATTCTTTTGTTTTTTTGTTTGTTGTTGGCTTTTTTGGGGGGCTTATGTGTGCGAGTGTGTTGTTTAATCCATGACATGACATTCATTCAGCAGACCGTTTATTTCTGTTCTAATAATATATTCGAATCCTTTCTGAAAGCGTCAGAAGCAGTCAGTCACTTCAGCGTTTTCCACTTTGACGGACAGGAAGGACGAAGCAAACTAAAGTTAATGACAGACCCACTGAAACAGCTGTGCTACTCTCACGCTTGCATGCTTCAGAGTTCCTTTTATTCATGAAATTAAAGAAATATAAATGATGTTGGCGACATAAAGGTAGTTTCTGTAATGAGGTTTGGAGTTTAGTCATCTCAAACCTCTTTGAGTCTTTGATGGACTCTGTGCAGATGTCTCACCTCAGCGATATCACTGATGGTAGTTTTATTGTTTATTACAGATATTCAGAGTGCCGTGTTTAAAACAAGCTAAATAGCAAAGCCAGCTAAAATAGTCGACACGAGTAAGCGTTATTACAGGCTGCTACAAAGACATGCATCGCTGTTGTAGTGTTTAATGCACGTCCAAAAAGTCTCCAGTTTTGGTGACTGAATTCTAGGATTTTACTTAATTATTTACTTACTACTGAGCATTAATTAGCAGGCATTCGTGTCTGTGTGGCGCTCCTATACACTCTGTACCTAACCTTGGCCACTTTGGCCTTGGCTTCAGAATGTAGCGCTCCAAAACTAGTGAGCAACATCACGATGTCTTTTATCGAGTCTCCACAAAGCTGCAGAGAATGAACACACTCTTCACCTGCAGTTAATGAGTTCAGCCATGTGTCCACATTTTAAACAAATCGTGTTTTTGATCACAACTCAAGAATTCATTCAGCAGTTATTATAAAACTGGAAGACTCGGGGAGTTTATGTAGAAGGTTAAAGGTCAAATCTGGACATAGACATTATCGATGTTTATGTTATTTTAAAGAATTGTTCCTGAAGCAAAGAGTGATATTAGTTATTGGACTGTTTCTCATAAATGGGAGATTCAAGAATATTTTTGCGATGTAATTAAAACTGAGTCCAGGCGAATATCAGATAAGTTCTTTTTTCTCTGATGAACAGTAAGTATTGCGTTCAACGCCTAATCTGAAATGCGTAGGTGTTGAAAAGTCCTTTAAATGGTGTTTTAAAAGTTTGTAGTGTTTTTTTTCTGTCCTTTTTTGTTTGCCCTGAAACCAACTGTGAACATGGCGGTTAATGAAACTGGATAAATTTACTTCCTGATATAAATCCAAATAAAATTGAAACAAAGTCTTAAAAGACTGCACATCTTTGTGTTTTGTTTTCTTAGATGCTTATCCGGTCTCGGAGGTGGTTTACAGGTGGACTGAGAAAGCGGCTGACTCGGTGGTGGTTGCGGAGGAAGGGTCCCGGCTCAACCAGTATCACCTGATTGGTCAGGATGCGGGCACAGAGGACATCTACACCAGCCGAGGTAAAGCGAAGAGTAAATGGACTCAGATTACAGATGAACCATCCCACAGCATCACACACACGACCTCTTACGTCTTAGCTCTCGCCGTTATTTCCCTTCTTACTGCAGCGGTCATACCCCAGCTTCAGGCTGTGTTAAGCCCTCACTTCCACCCTATTATCCGTGTTATTATAGTGTTCCAAAGATATTGTGTGAAGAAACTGTTTTCAAATCAAGCAGGATAGAGACAATGAATGAATCACAAGGATTTGAGGATGCCTCCCACACATAGCCAGCTGTCTCTGCAAAGAGAAGAGATAGGATGGTGCTGGGAAGGGGAGGGGGGGGGGGGGGGGGGGGGGGGGGGGGGGGGGGTGTGAAAAAAAAATCACTTATCCGTGGTCTGAGCCATTGGGTCTGTAGGGTTAATCCGTTTGCAGGCCCATCAGTTGTGCTTTTACTAAGTGACGTCACAGCGCAGGGATTGGCTGCTGGAGTGGAGGCATGTGGGGTGGGGGGCAAATGGCATCTGCTTAATTCTGTTATGTAAAGAAGTACAATAATACAATTTTGCTGCTTGTTGGTGGAGAGTCTGTCACAGAGGAGGAGTTCCTATAGTGTGATGTATACAGAAATAGCTATCTTAATCCAGTATCTGCCGGTGCAAGCCGGTGTTTACACTGGCTGGTGTATGAAAAGTGAACACTTGTCGAGAGACACGTCACATGCTTCTTACATGGTAAAAAGAATAAGCCAGCTATGCTTACACAGGAGGAAGACCGAGACTCAGTAACCGATGAGATTCTGCCATAGACAGCAATTCTGTCTTTATACACCCCTGCAGCTCAGACTGGTTAAAGAGGGCAGACACACAAAGCCATCGTGTCCTTAATTAGTATCACTAATCTGGGGTGCAAGCCCTCTTTAACAAGCCGAGAATAGCTCAGCAAGGTGCTCACAGTGAAATGACCTTTGACCTCACAAGCTAAGCTGAGGATGATGTGAGAAGAGAAGCAGGAGCTGAGCTGAGAATACTTGTGATTTCACTTGGTTAAAGACACCGGGTTACAATTAAAAGCGGCAAAGCTCAACAGATGGTTTCGAAATGTACTCACCAGTTGACCAACATAGCTGCGTTGTTCTCTGCTATGAATGGCAGTTCTCCACAGACACTCCAAAAACCAAACAGTAAAATCCACCACAACTGCATTTTTTCACGCCTCGGAGATTTCCATCCACTTCCAATCCCAGCAGGCGGTCAGATCAGAGCGGGGTTCGCCCGGCCGTGCCACCACGGAGCAGGGCTGCTCACTGCTAGTCCTCGGAGCGAAGGCAGCACAGGTGCCCTTTTCATTAAGAACATGATGCTCGTTGTTGCATCTCACAAAACTTTCCTGCGGTCCCTCTCAGCCCCCCTCTGCTTCAGTCATCTGTGCACCTGCTTGTAATCACCGCTGATCCAGGTCTGTTTTAGTGTTCTCGCTCAGCAAAGGCAAGGATGTACGTCCCCAATCAAAGGCCTGGCCTGACAGAATGGGATGGACTGTCTTTCACACACAGAGACACACACACACACACACACACACGCATGCATGCACATAGAAAGAGAGAGAGAGAGGGGGAGGAAGCGAGAGAGAGATATACAGGATGCAGATTGTGACAAGGGATTAGTGAGACAGAAAAATCGGATTTTGCCAGGAGAAAGCAGCAGTCATCTGTGGATTTTCTATAGTTTATCAGACTCCATGGCTCAACAGGATTTTTGGAAAAAAAAAATCCTTCAAATGCAATCTTCAGTTGGTTAACGAGATATGATGAGTTCCCCACAAACCTTTTTTCTTTAAATAATCGAATTCACACATTTGGATGATGGCCAGGGCATTGTCGGGTGGTTTGATGTAGAGCACAGAGTGCAGAGTGACGATGTAGCAACTGCTCACAGGCCACATGTTTCAGGAAAGGTAAAAGGTCTCAGAGATTAAGGGGTCAGACGTGATACCCGACGCAAGTAACTCCTAACATACATGTGAGAAAAATGTATTTATAAACTATGTGTTAGGAACCTCTGGCCTGCAGTGGTTCAGCTGTGGTAGGCAGAACCAAAGTTAGTGGAGACCAGAACAAAAGCTAAAAGAAGACGGGAGGTTGGACCCGCATTCTCAGGTGGCTAATAACATGACTTCAAATAGAAGGTTAATGCAACTGTTTATCCTAAAAGTGTTGCACTGACAGGTTACAGTGCCCCCAAGTGGCCAAAAGTTTTTTTTTTGGTTAATTCGTTTTTTTGTTTTGTGTTTCCAAATAAAAGAGCATTTTAAATATAAATGCCACTTTTCTTTGTGTTGTTTAGAAGTTTTTGCTCAGTTTTACTCCATGTTATTTTCTTTAAAATACGGAATTGAGTAACAAAAATAACTAATTGCTAATTTCTGCTGTTTTCCACAGGTCAATACACCGTGATGATGGCTCACTTTTACCTAAAGAGGAAGATCGGCTACTTTGTCATTCAGACCTACATGCCTTGCTTCATGACTGTAATCCTATCACAGGTTTCCTTTTGGCTAAACCGCGAATCGGTGCCAGCACGGACCGTGTTTGGTACGTTTGAAAAAAGGAGAGAAATCAAATGAATTCAGATATTTTACATAATGTTAGCAAATTTCATGTGCTGTGGGAATATAAAGCTGGGAAATGAGTGCAGTGAATATTCCTAAATGTCTTTTTCTGTGACTCTGCTTCACAATCTGCCTTTAATACTTTGATTCGTGCCCTGTTTTTATGACTTAATCTGCTGGAATAGAAACTGAAGAGCAAGTGTGGTGAGTAAAACTGACCCAGTTTTCTGCACCACCAGGTGTGACCACAGTGCTCACCATGACCACTCTCAGCATCAGCGCTCGAAACTCGCTGCCTAAAGTGGCTTACGCGACTGCCATGGACTGGTTCATCGCGGTGTGCTATGCCTTTGTCTTCTCTGCCCTCATTGAATTTGCCACAGTTAATTATTTCACCAAAAGGAGCTGGGCGTGGGATGGGAAAAAAGCAATGGAGGCCCAGATGCCAAAGGTACGTGCTGTGCTCCAACCTGCCCTCGACTCACATTCTTGTTGATTAACTACAGTGGAATTCTTGGAACAGGAAAACTGAAAATACATTTTCAGATCTTTTAAAGTCAATATTGAAGGCTGGAAAATTGATTTTTTCCCCCTCACATAAAGTTGGCCTGTATTCTCAGTGTTACAGCTGGTTGTTACAGCTCAATATATTTGATAGAGCCCAGCTCACTTTATTTAAAAATAAAGGTCCTGTAAAACAGCGGCCCCCAACCCCCAGGTCATGGACCGGTACGGGTCTGTGAATCGTTTGGTACCGGGCCGCGAGAGTTGAGGCTCGGGTGTGAAATTTATGGTTTTCAAGGTTTTTATCATTAACTCGGTTTCTCTGGGTCTTTTCCTTTGTGTTATGAATTGTTTTTGTCTTAGTCGTATCATTTTCATTTGTTGTATTTATCTGCGACATCTTAAAGGCTGGTTCTTGAAAATATTGTCTTACATTAAACCGGTCTGTGGCGCAAAAAAGGTTGGGGACCGCTGCTGTACAACATGCCTCTGTTAGGGGATCCCTTGATATGTTTGAATGAAAAACTAACTAGTTAAGACATAATGCGTTGTGTGTAAATTTACTGCATGTTTGTGTGTAGCCCATAAACTGTATATAAAAGACTGTGATGGTTTGGGTTGGTCTATGAGGTCCTGGCGTGAAGCCTTAACTTGATTTTGACCATCATCTTGGTTTTCCGCATTAGTGACAGGTTGGTAGGGGCTGATGTGACAGAGAAACTGAAGACACTGATTTGTTGTACATATTGACTCTAATAAAGACCATGATTTACATTATCCACTTATGCTGTGTTAGATTTGACGTGAAACTAGCGCCTGACACCATAAACGCATCAGAAAACATTTACTGAGGTCATATGTCAAGTAAAATGTTCTGTCATTTTCCCAAAGAAAATTATCGCCCCCTGCTGATCATTAGAAGAATTTCAGCTTCAGCTTGTCCATCTTTTATATACAGATAATGGTTCAGGCAGTACATTTGGCTCGATTAGGAGGAGCAATTACACAGATTTCTTCTTTAGTCAATTATGTTTAAATAAGTTATGATCAGTGCTGCCTCAGTGGAATAAAATTGGAGAAACGCTGAAGTTTGTTCACGGTATGCCAAACCGTGCTTTCATCTGCTGTGGGGAGAGAGAAGGAAAAGGGGGCGCAGTGAAAAATTTTATTTCCCAAATAATAATAAAGTAAGAGATGAATTGGGCGATGCGTAGAAGTTGAAAAAGCCGGATCAATATCTCCTCTGCTCAGTGTGCCGGTGCTGTGGCACAGTGCCAGTTCATTACTGCCCAAGGACGTTGATCCCTGCCTTCAGATCTCACCAGCCATCTTTTATTGTTCACCTTCAGCTCTTGTGTATGTGTGTGAGTGCCTGTGATATTATCCACCTGTTTTATTATGTTCAATGATGAATGTGCCACTTTTTCTTATGCATATTGAATCAATGTTTTATTTTGCTTCTCTACAGAAGAAAGACCCTTTAACTCTGTCTAAGAAGCCAAACAACAATTGTTCAGCTGGTGTGAATTACACAACCAACCTAACGAAGGACGCGTCCATCTCAACTATTTCAAACAGCACGGCTGTCCAGCTCAAACTGCCTGAAACCAAGGCGCCAGACCCCAAAAAGACTTACAACAGTGTCAGCAAGATTGATAAGATGGCCAGGATAGTGTTCCCCGTGCTGTTTGGGACCTTCAACCTGGTGTACTGGGCTACGTATCTCAATAGGGAGCCAGTGATCAGCAGAGATCAGCAGAGAAGTCCTTAGTCCTTGAGTCATTGACATGTTTTTTAGCTAGTTCGATAACATTGCATGTGCGTTGCTTCAAGAACATTTTGCCATGTTTGCTTAGAGTTTGTACATGATTAAAAAAAGCTTAATTTGTCACACTTTACCACTCAGTTATTGATTCGTTTCTGCCACATTGTGATCTTTTAAATTTTTTGGCATTTGGCATTTATATTTTCTCCTTGAGTCTACATTCGATGATGGCTCAGCAAAAGCCAAATGCTATGCAAAAGATGCACCTGTGTTATTACTCGAACTCGGCTTTTTTCTCCTTTGTAACTCGAACTTTGTACAAATGGGCCGGAGGTCCGGGATTGCGAAGCTGGGCCCGGGCACATGGAAATTTGCTTCCTTGTTAAAAGCAGATGAATAGCCATGCTTAATATGTTGCCTTCAGAGTGTGATAACTCATTATGAATGCACTGAAATCCTCTGCTATTACATTTATCAAAAGCCAGTTTTTCAGCTTTTACTTGAACGTTTCTGCTTCTTGTTTGCTTTCGCTGACTTTCTCCATTTCGTACGGCGAGTTCTCATTTACTGTTTTGTTCCTGTTTCCGTTGGTCCTATAAACGGGGGACGATTTAAAGCTAACGTGATAGTGGCAGCTTCTGTTTCCAAGTCCTCGTGTAGAGAATCCTGTATGTATGCAAGTGTGGTAGTAGTTTGGGAAAAATGTATATACGCTCAGCTTTTAGAAAGGCACCACTAAGCCAGTAAGGTTCATCTATGTAAAGCATATACAGCACCAGTATTACTCTAGTCTAGCGCTTTATTGACTGGATTAGGAAATGATCCAAGTAGCTTAAGCTTTAGAGATGTTGACATTTTTTTAGGTTACTTTGTTGTTTCTAAGCTTTGATAATAACTTGCAAATATTATTAACCAATATCTGGTTGCTTTGAGCAGAGTCACTCTTTGTCATGTAATTAAAAGACTGATTTGAACTAATCAGGTTATCATGAGAGACGAGGGTCTCAGTGACAAGGGTCTCATCACATTACATTAAATAAAATTCCGATGAGCTAAATGAATAATTTTATATTCTGGCAATATTTTATTTGCTTTCTTGTTGAGAGTGTAATGAGAAGATTAACGCTGCTCTCTCTGTGCAGTAAGTAGTGACGCTCTCCAGTGTTCAGACCTTATCTTAGCATAAAGACTAGAGCTGGGAATGATGTTTATTTCATTCTGATTGGCTACCTTGGGGAAGCCTGCTGAAGGGCAGCACCTGGAGCTTGTAAGCTGTGCTTGGTCTGTGCCCGCAGTAGATTACCATGTAAAGAAATGTGTGATGAGCTGATGTCGGCTTTTGGAGTTTCATCATAGTGGTTTGTGTTTTCTATACAGTCTATGTTTCATGGGCAGGAAAACGAACTTTGAGGAAACTTTAAGTTTTCCAAGAAAATGAAACAAACAAGCCGAGCCAATCTGGCTGTTTCCTTCTACTTTAAGTCTTTATGCTAAGCTAAGATGACCGACCCCTTTCTTTATATTTGTTTCATATGAAATACATTTCACATTTCTCATCAACCCTTTGCAAGAAAGCCATTTCCCGTTTTTAAAAGGTACTATTGTTTAAATAGAATATAATGTGATGCCCTCCACAGCAGCTGCATGCTCTACACTCACTTCAGCAGAGTTAGTTCTGCAGACTGAACAGAATCATGTGACTTTATGCCTGCGTGGCCTGCCACTACTTCATTTGTTGGATTCATTTGAGATTTTAGATACATACTGTACTGTTGTTTAAATGCAATGATCTGAAGCAATAAATAATGCTCATGAATAATGACCTCTACTTATTGTAGTGTGTTACCATCCATCCATTCTCTTCCACTTATCCTTTTCAGGGTCCCAGGGGGTCTGGAGCCTATCCCAGCTATCTTAGGGCTAGAGGCAGGGTATACCCTGGACAGGTAACACATAGACACAGACAACCAGTCGCACTCACACATATGGGCAATTTTGAGTTTCTAATTAACCTATCCCCACTAACTGCATGTCTTTGGACTGTGGGAGGAAGCCAGAGTACCCAGAGAGAACCCATGCAAACTCCACACAGAAAGACCCCACCATCAGACTCAACCTGATGGTGGAATTAAACTCAGGACCTTCTTGCTAACCACCGTACCACCACGCTGTTCTTATTACCATTTGATTCTCGTTTCATTCAGATTTTCTTCATCTGGTTAATGTTTTTATTTATTTGTTTGTTACGAACACCTTTTTCCATGGGTACACACCTGTCTCTGCTAAAGTTTCCCAGACTCTATCCGACTGCTTTTAGTTCCAAAATCTCAGCGATGATAAAGCATGAAAAACCTTCATCATCTCGGCTGTAGCATTGCATGTATGGAATGTAATCTGATGAGTGCAAGATGCTTAATCAGTTTCATCCGTTCATATAAATACGCACATTGAGTGAATAAATTTTTTGCTACATCGACGTGGTGAAAGAGACGATGGCTTAATCTGGCTTGATGGAACAACAACTGCATGTTCCTCTGCTCCTCCTTTGATTACATACATCTATATCTGGCTCGTGTAGCAGTCCACTTGTTTGTTAAATCTATCGTGGGGGTCTCTGTGGCAGTAACATCTGGCTCACATCTGTTCAACAAGGATTTAGCTCTGTTTAAGTTGCTTTTCCCGTTCAGCAAGGCCATACTCTAAGTCACAATAAGCTGTCACCAACATCACATGTCCACAGCATCAAACCACACTCCATGCTTAAAGAATGTGTTATTCCTTCTGTCCCTTTATGCACACATTTTAAATGCCAGACTAAAGAAAAAGTGACATTTTCGTGATGAACTGGGCCAGTTGCACTCCCTGCAACCTGTAGGTCAAGCTAACCCATCATATGAAAGCCATTAGCTTTGTTTAAGGACAACATGGGATTCAAAGCACTGATTTCTGATTTGATTTTGTGGCGCTGTATACTATTGATAGCAGCATAAACACGACAAGTAGACTTCTCCCTTGGTGGAATGGATAACGCATCCGACCACTGATCAGAAGATCCTAGGTGCACTCTTGGCCTGCTCTGCACTTTGAACGCTTTCCCCGGGTTAATCAAGGATTCTGGTTATACAGCATCAATGTATGCTAAGACTTTATATTGGAAGAGCCTTACAAACCCAATAACTCTTCATGACTAAACTCTTAATAACAGTGAGGAGGAAATGCATTTTTAAACAGAGGAAACCTTCAGTCGAAGGAACTGAGACAAACGGGATTTGAGCTGCAGTCACCTGACTGAAAGTCAGGTACATCTGTGTTTCCATCACTAACCTTCTCACGTCTCTACAGGTTATATCAAAGCTTTTTCTCTAATATTGACTATCACATGCCTTTAAAGCCTGAAACATGAAATAATTCCCAGAAAAATCTTGATTTTTAAAAGAAATCAAATGTTTATTGACCCTTCTGATGAAATAAAATAATATTAATGTATCAAATGCGATACACTTGACTTTAAAGTGTAGGCTGCATTCACGTTCTGTTATAATAACCATGAATACAATTTTGCAGCTTGGAAATAGCATTCAGTTGCAGAAAGCATGTAAACCTATCTTCATGTCCAGCCCTTTAAAACTGTTTGTTTGCAAGCTCTTCTTATTTGGTGTGGCACAGTTCATGGTGGACAAACATCAGAAGTGGAAACTATTAAAAGTAAAAGAAACTTACTGTGCCAAGTAAAAAATAAAATTTTCATTATGCATACTGTATAAGACATGTGTCCAAAACTGCTTGGTCAGCAGGGCTAGGACACATTCACTGTACCTTATGTTCGGGCATATAATGCAGCTTCTTTTTCATCATACAAAATATCTATAGCCTGTGCTTATAGCTCTCTGGTGTAAGTTGATACATGAAATGCTGAATGTGCATTTTGATTAGAAGATTCATGTGTGAATCTAACTTTCCTCTGCAGCAACACAAAAAAATGTAACATCAGAGCATTTAAAGTGGTTGTGATTTTGTTTTTCACTTATCTTTCCTTCACCTTTAAAAAAATTCAGTCACTGCACAACCTTCAGGGTCAGGTGGAGGCATTGTGTTGAGCTAGATAAAGTATGAAATCACCAAAAAGCTTTCAGAAGAAATATTATAGAAGTGAAGTGTAATATAAAAAAAATCATTAGTTAACTTTGATTCACAGGTTTTAAATTGCATGTGCTTAACAAAAGCCTTTTAATATAATAATAATATTACAATATTATTGTAATATTATTAATTATTAATATAATACAGCGTTTTATATTATAGTTGCAAGGTGCCAGACAAAGGACAAAAACACATTTGTCAGAAAAGTGATAAAAAATGAAGATAACAAAGCTAACATTGTTAAATGGAGGTCAGAGAGGATAACAGCCAGCGGCCATAAACAGGACAGTAAAAAAGAGTGAAAGTTAAAGCAAATTATTCAGCCTCATCTTTTTCAGCATTGTATTTCAAAGTCATCTTCACATCACCAGGAACATGAATCGCTGAGGCTTTGCAGGATGCTGAACTGCTGGATTGATTAAAGGATTTGTATGGAAGATATTCTGAGGGTTTTTTTTCTCCCCACAATGCCTTTTTTTTTTACATCTTTGCAAATTCTGACATTTTCTGTGCGACCTTTGATTTCGTCAGCACAATATCCTGCTCCCTTGCTAATCAATGTACATCAGTGCCTTACTGCAAACTTTAATTTAGAGCTTGGACGGATGCTCACACAGTGCAGTCATGTATGCAGAGAAGGAAATGACTTCAAAAACAACAACAAAAAGAAAACAACACATTAAAATACTGATATCACAGGTATCCTGCAGGCGTGGAGTCTCTGCACTGATGCATAGTTCATGAAAGAAGCACCATGAAAGGTAAGCAGAAAACTTCTAAGTGGTATAAACTGTCTAAACTGTGTACAAAAACAAAGGTTACGCTGCCTCTGACAGAACGAGGAAGAAATTGTTTGATTTGAAAACAGGTTTCATTTTTTCTTCATCAAAGAATTTTAAAACTTTGCTGTGTTTTACAACAAATTCCCACTTGTCACAAAAAATGCTAGAAATCAGCGCTTTCTTGTCAATCATCTCACCACCAGAATCTGCATGTGTGCACTTCACTGAAAGCAAAGGCCAGCATTTGAAGAAACTTTTAAAAGTAGCGCTAAAACTCTAAAAACAGATAACACAGTCCTGCTTTACTTCCTGTGAGTGAAATATTGAACTTTTCGCTGCGTGACAATGAACCGAGAGTTGCTGTAAAGTTACTTTACAAAGGGAAACAATCTGTTTAATAACCAACTAATAGATTGATGAAAATCACATAGATGCTGTCTTATTACTTTGGCAAGTTTCGCAGGTTTAAACGGAGAAAAAAAATAGTGAAAACTCTTAGGCATTATTAAACTATCGTTATTTTTTCTACACTGAAATGTGGACTATATTGTATTTGTAAAGCACTTTTCAAATTAATTAATATCTCTTGTGGATGTTCACACTGAAAGTCAATTTATGCCAAAGGTAATACAAATTAGCATGTCCTTAATCACTTCCTTTGGGTCTACTGAGCCTGTATGTTTGTAGTAGGCAGCACATTAGTGACCAGTTAAAGCAGCAGGATAATGAGGATGATTTATGTTGTAGCCTTGTTTGGATGGAACAGTCCTAATTAGAGCAGCACATGCAGCACTCAGTGTTTTAGAGTGTGCAGATCTACTTTTAACCAGCAGAGGGTGACAGCAGCACTGCAGACAGGCTTCACTATGGGTCTGTTAAAGCGCACATCCAACCAGGCCCGTGCATGTGAGTCCTGTGAGGCTGCTGTGGCTCACTGCTCATCGTGCTTTACAGTGCTGGCACAGAGGGATTATTTATCTTTGTGTTCTTGCTGGACAACTCCTCCTCTATTGTCCAGCCATTCATTTGAAATCAATGCCACCAAGGACCAATCAGAGTGTTCTTTGAAGGAAAATTATGATTGCTCCTGAAGAGGGTCAATCATAAAACTGTCAGAAAACACCTTTACCTGCAGCATGGGGTTGCTTGTTTTATGCCTTGTCATCGGTGGGGCTTCATGCCCTTGGTTTTTTATTTTTTAAAGGTACACTTCAGTACTTTCTCTAGTCCCCAGTTTCACCCTGGTGATGTCATCCGTTTTGTCATCAGGGTTATTCTGACAGAAACTGAAAACAGGCATGTTTTGGAGGTGTGAGCATAGGAGGCAGCTGCATTGTGGGAAACAAAGCCTGACTAAGCAGCAATCTCTGGGGCTAAAAAATTTAAATCATCACAGAGGTGGAAAAAAACTGCAGTTCCTCTAATGTCCACTTGAGGCTCCAGCAGTGAGTCAGTCCCCATAGACTCCCCTGTTAAATTGTCCAACTTTACATGAGAAATAAACATGTCTACAGCCTACTACAAAAAATGTTTTGGGCTCTATAGTTAATGTCCCCCTTCTTGACAACTGCACAGGGGGTGCATGTAATAAAAATTCACCCTCTTTGGGTGCTTTGATTGACACGTGGATACCAAAGCAGGCATCTACTTATTAATGTCCTAGAAATGGATCTCTTGAGTGGTGTCAGTGCCTCTTGGAGCATTACTTCTGCAGTTATCTGACTAATAATATGGATGATGTGCAGTTAATTGTACTAAAAGAACATCCAAGAAGTCTGAGCACCAGTTTGGGTGAGTGAAATTCTAGGACTATATAAGTATGTTATGTCTGCTTGCTCCTGATTCACCCCTACAGTTTAGCCTATCTGAGGATTAGCCTTCAAATAATCAAACTCCATCTTTGATATACAGCCTATGAACTTGACCCATACTAGAAAATAAATATCATAATGTTTGAGCCTTTTTTTTTTTACATCTTTGGAGTCCTTTATGGAGGCACAGCATTCAGTGGAGCACCACCTTAAGCATTCAGCCTTAAATAAATCACATCCTCACAGGGAGAAGACAGGGGCTGTAAACACAGCATGACAAGGGCTCTCAATTACAATCTCAAACACGGCCACAAAGGCGGCTTCATTCTCTAAGAGGCTGCATGCCAATTAGCAGCGTTTGGTAGCTTTAAAGGGGCTCTTGCTGCACTTTGATATGCAAGCTTTCAAATGAATAACAAAGAGGCTGCCTCACAGGTGCATCATTAAAACACATGCAACAATTAGTCGATCGATAAAAGCAAATCAGTAGACAAATGAGAACGGCTGTTATCTGATAATCGATATCTAGCTTATAATAAATATTAAATAAATATAAATTATATTTTTATAGAACTTTTTGGTCGCACATAAGAGGCAATAAGATGACATCACCCGTATCACTTTTACTGTTCTGTCAGAGTTTTTGGCACCATTTAAATTTTAAAAATCCACTAAAATAAGAAACTTTAGTTCCTGCCATAAAAATAATCATATCTATGCACACAGACGCTCCTGCCTTGCATACAAATAATCTATATTGTATTCACAAAGGGATGCGTTCTTTTGGCACTTTGTACGGATAATTAGAAAGAAAGCAAAACACCACTAAAGAGAGCAGGTGTAACAGCTCTAATAAGATCTGTAAAGTAGCCCCTACAGTGGAGTGACGCAGGTTTGGCCACGGAGGAGTTTTTGGTGGACCAGGGGCTTTTAGAGGGACGCATTCAGAGTGTGCGCACCTGCGTAAAGCACAAGCAGCGTCCGCTATCCAGGAATTGCAACCCTGTACAGGTGAGACCAGCTGCTCCTCCGTCTATACGAGGAGGCACTCCCACGAGGAAGGATCTATTTCACAACAATGAATGACATTTCTGCTGGATTACAAACTACGAAGGGCTGCTCTTACGTTTTCTCCCCTGAGCAGCAGTGACCGTCGCGTCCAGACACCGACACCTTACGCACCGTCCTCTCACACATCTCTACTTGTTGTCCTCCTGCGACAAACATGACATCCCCGCTACTGGCTTATATCCTACTTCTTTCAGCCCTTCATACCTGGTAAGTGGCGCCCTTTGGTCGCGTGATGCGTTTTGGTGATGCTTTAAATGCTCAGGAAACTTTGTGGCTGGCTCTTAAGTTTGCGTGAAGGACTCAGTGACACTAACGATGTCTTTGCGTGCATGCACTCTGCAGACTGCGCTGCATGTTTTAAGTCAGTGTCATTGCTCCTGCTGTTTTCAGCCACCTTCTTTTATTTGTGTCCCTGTAGCTCTCTAACAATCGAGTCCGAGGAGGACTACGAGGATGTCACTGTGAACCAGATGCTGGCTCCTAAATCCCAGCAAACCGACGCCACGGAAATACTCAATAATTTACTGAAAGAATATGACAAGAAACTGCGACCGGATATTGGAGGTAAGGGTTACTTCTGTCCCAATTTCTCAGCTAACTAATCACAGAATTTGAATGCAAAGCAGCTTTCTCCTTATAGCCACACCTGTGTGAAACCTGGGGATGCTATTAGTTCTAGAATCAGATAAATGTAATGTTTAATTCAGAACCTACATAACACTGTACGCACGAACTGTGTACTAAAACCTTTAAGTGTCAATATTAGCTAAAGCCTTCCCAGGTTTGTCGCCACTGCTAACACTGAGCCCAAAAAGTCTGTTCCGAACTTAATTTCATTTTACAAGCTTAAATGTTCTTGTAAAAATGTACATAAAATACCTTTTTATTAGTCTTTTTTTAAGGTTTGCATTAATGAAAGATGCCCTCTCTGAAGACTCCATAAAACTGTCCAGCCGTTATAATGAAACAGCAATACTAAGTAAACCAAAACTTTTAAAAGGACTAAAAGTATTGACATTTTAAAATGTGAACTTACTATCAGCTATTTAAACACTACAATCTTCAGACATCCACACATGAAGCACAGGGGATAGGTGATTTCCTCCATCTCTCTTTGGCTGATAGAGGTGTTGGAGTAGCACTTTATAAAGTCTAACTTCAATAGCAGTGACAATGCCAGGGAATTTCTGAATATTGTAGAATTTATTTGTTCCTACAGCAGATGTGATTGTGCGCTGTTATTCCAGGATGTCAGGACCATTCTGCAGGAAAGTCTTTGACGGTCAGCTCTCCTTGGTCTTCTTTGGGTTTTTTGTGGTTGTTGAAAAGCTTTGAGGTGTTTGGCTTCATCACCCTGTTGACTCGTTCATTACAAAAATCCAAACTTGAGGGTGGGACATGTCTCTGAAGAATGGAGTGCTGCTTCTCCATGGTCAGAGTGGCGTTGATTCAGTGCACGTGTCCAGAATATTCCCACCCTCTCTATGGGTTTCATATAATGTGGTAACATCTCCTTATAGACACTCTTCTGTTGCTACCACTATCATCAAGATATTATATTAATATTGTTTTTCTTGCTATTCGCTGTGAAGTGCTCCCTTAGTCTACTCTTGTGGTCATAACTTTAAAGCAATGAATTTAGGGACATTCTTTCTTATTAGATGACACTATTTCGTGCATTTAATGGGCAGGTAAAGTTTTTTAGTGGTTTTACTTTCTGACCCACAATCACAAAGGGTCAAGGTGTAACTCATCAGCATGTCCTCATGAATATAAATTACATCTGAAGGTGGAAACTTTGAGTGGAGGAGAGAGATATGTAATTCCCTGACTCATTTTCTCCTGGATAAAGTGAATGTGTTTGTCAACTCTGAAGACTCTGAAGAGGCTCTGCTTCTGTTCTTGTTCAGGGTTTGTAAAGTGGCCTCTGGTGGCAGGCTGCTGCCATATGGTAATGTAGTTAGAATCAATGCATAACAAAGGGGGGCTTCTTAGAACACACTTCTGTGAGTTGTTGCTCGTTAGGTATTAACTTAAAAATGGACAACTTTCATCTTTGCAAAAAGAACAAGCAAGACATGGTTGAGCTGGAGGTCAGTCGTTAACCATCTGACAAAGCCGAGTTGCTTTGCGAGCAGCAGCAGCAGCAGGCGACATCCAGTTGACACCTAACAGCCTGTTGTGTTTAACAGCAGGCGTCGCCTCAGATGTGACCAAGATTCAGCTCGTGATCACGATTTCTTCTTTGCTGATGGAGGGTGTTTGCATTTGTAGCCTTGATTTAGATGGCACCTTGCTAACAAAACCTGTCCACAAATATCTAACTAGTGCTGGCAGGCCTGGGATCAGTAGTCTTGGTAAAATCATACTTTTATTAAAGGTGCTGCAGTTGCTATAGATGTGCGTAACAGTGCATCAGATGACTTTTTATAATGTGAATTTGTTTTGTTTTTTTGCAATGATAGCTGACAGATAATGACACTGGATTCTTACTTTGGGCCATGTAGGCATTTCATGCTAATATCAGCACTTTACCATCATCACATCATCATCACCAGCTGCTGTAATAAATCATACACCCAGTGATGAGAGTTAGTTGAGTGTTTGCGACTCATATGTGTGTGTGTATGTATATATATATTATATAGTGGTGTTTGTGTGTGTGTGTTGTGTGTCGTGTAGTTATTATCACTACGTATCATCAGTTATATATATATAATATATATATAATATATAATATATATATATAGTATATTTATATATACTATTATATATATATAATATATTATATGATATGATTATACATATATATATATATATATGTATATGTATGTATATTGTATATTATTATATGTATGTATGTATATGTATATGTGTATATATATATGTATATATATGTATATATATATATATATATATATATATATATATATATATTATGATATATATATATATATATATATTATATATATATATATATATATAAATAGTATATGTTGGGGAGGTCCTGATATGCAGACTCAAAGAGTTTAGGAGCAGTCACCGCAAATGCCCGGTCTCCTCTGTGTTTTAATCTGGACCTTGGGACAACTAGTAGCATTTGGTCCGCAGAGCTCAAAGATCTTGCAGGAGTATACCAGGTTAGATGACCAGAAACATATGTAGGAGCTAGTCCATGCAGCGTCTTAAAAACAAGTGTTAAAATCTTAAAATCAATTCGAAAACTGTTTGGCAGCCAATGTAATGATGCAAGTATGGGAGATATGTGATCTTGCTTGCACGTGCCAGTTAGGAGCAGTGCTGCAGCGTTTTGGATGAGTTGAAGCTGGCCAATTGATGACGAGGTAACATCAGAGTAGAGGCTATTACAGAAGTCGAGGCGAGATGAGATGAAGGCATGGATCGCGTTCTCAAAATCTCTGAAACAGAGAAATGGCTTAACTTTTGCAAGGAGGCGAAGATGAAAGAAGTTGGTCTTGATTACATTGTTTATCTGTTCATCAAATGTTAAATTGCTGTCAAAGATCACTCCTAATTCCTTGCAAATGATTTTCTATAGTTTTTTAAGGGCCCAAAGTCGTAATGGTTACAAGGAACAAAGACAATGACCTCAGTTTTCTGTTCATTTAAAATGAGAAAATTTAAAGCCATCCATGCCTTAGCATCTTCCAGACAATCAAACAGTCCCTTCAGAGGATTCACAGATTTGCGTTTCAGCGGAAGGTAGATTTGAGAGTCATCTGCATAGCAATGAAACGAGATACTGTATTTTTGAAAAATTTAACCCTTGGGGAGCATGTAAATTGAAAAAAAGAGTGGGCCAAGAATAGAGCCCTGGGGGACCCCACAAAAAAGTGTGGTCCTTGGAGATAATTTGCCTCTGAGTGTAAGAGAGAAAGTTTGATTAGATAGGTAGGATTTAAACCATTCCAAAACAATTCCTTTAATTCCGACACATTGTTGCAGCTGAAAGATAAGAATCCCATGATCTATTGTATCAAAAACAGCACTGAGATCTAATAATTTTAAAATGTCAGAATCTCCTGAGTCAGTAAAAGTTAAAAGATCAGTTTCAGCACTGTGGTGCATTTTAAAACCAGACTAGAATACTTCACCAATGTCGTATTTATCTAAGAAGGCCTGGAGCTGCCAAACCTACAATTTTCTCCAGAACTTTTGAAAAAAGGGCACTTTAGAGATTGGTCTGTAATTTGATAAAACTGTTGAGTCCAGATTCTGCTTTTTAAGGATAGGTTCCACAACAGCATGTTTAAAGTCGGAGGGAACGGAGCCTGACTGAAGACTATTGACAATGGAAAGTAAGCATGAACCAACAGTGTCAAAAAACTTGTGCAAGTTCTTTCAAATGCAAGCCGTAAGCTCCGGAGCTAAAAGCCAAAAGATGGCAAAACCATCTAAACATGTTATCAGCCTGCTACAAAAGTGTCTGCTAGGCTTCACCTGAGTTTTTGGAGTCACTCAACAGGAGCTCTGCACTGTGCTCCATTGTTCAAGCATTTTTGATGCAATTATATGGCGATGGCTGCGGTGCCGTTCATTGTATTAACCGACCATCTGAGAAGTCTGTGCTGCAGTTTTGATTTTATTTGGATGCTTCAAGATGAACTGCTGAGTCCAGAACCAATAGATGAGATCACAGTGGCTATATTCAAGCTTTTTATACACCCAATAGCGAAACTCTTCTCATTTCCAAATGTAGATCTACTGATCAAGATTAATCATTCATTTGGGGAGAACTGCATTAAGAGATAAATTAGTGTTCTCAAAGCATGCAAACTGCCTCAAGTTTTCTCTTTAACCTAATTGGGAAGTCTTAATAGATCCATAGAAGAAGAGACCATTATTGTCGGCACCTGCACCATTTGGCTTCAAAAAGGGAGAAACCCACAGATGATGTCACAGTGGCTACGTCTATCTTTTGTATACAGTTTGTTGTTTTGGACAACGAAGTAGGTGGATCCTTCAGCATCTCTTTGAGATTCTTCAGTCACTGCTTTAGCAAACAGGATTTTTACAACCTGAATCTTGTATAATATCTCTGTTACTATGGATACCAAGTAGTGCAAGCTCCGTTGTTCCTGTCTGGGAAAAAATAAAGGGCACAAAAGAAAGAAATGTGATTGGTACGCTAGGTGTTACTCAGTGGCACGTATAGATGACCTCACACATGCTCTGGAAAAGCCCTTTCAATGCATTCCTGAGAGAGATGGTCCCGTTCTTACATCCTTAGTGCCACTTTATTAGAGTTACTTTCTCAATGTTTCACTCCAGAAAATAACCCTGAACTCTCACTTTCCTCAGTTGATAGAACAAACCTAAAGTTTACTATGTCATCTGCTCATCCTGTGGTCAATTTCAGTTTTTTAAACTGTTTTTCTTGGTGTTTTAAATCCTCCTCTGACTGTTGTGATTCATACAAACAAGGGATCGGTTAGATTTTCCATCAGCAAACGGCATAACGATGGTCTTTGTCAGAGCTACATAAATACCACTTGTTCTAGAGTTATCCAGTGCTCAGCTGGATGCTTACTTTTAATCCAAAC